GAAGTGGCTAAGCCACTATCCATCACATTAGAGAAGTCATGTCAGTCTGGGGAAGTTCCCACTGACTGAAAAAGGGGAAACATAACCTCCATTTTTAAAAATGGAAAAAAGGAAAACCCAGGGAACTACAGACCAGTGAATGTCACCTCTCTGCCCAGCAAGATCACGGAGCAGATCCTCCTGGAAACTATGCTAAGGCATACGGAAACTAAAGAGGCGGTTGGTGACAGTCAACATGGCTTCACTAAGGGCAAATCATGCCTCACAAATTTGGTGGCCTTCTATCATGGAGTTATAGTGTTGATGGATGAGGGAAGAGCAACTGACATCATCTACCTGGACTTGAGCAATGCATTTGACGCTGTCCTGCACGACATCCTTGTCTCTAAATTTGAGAGACAGGCTGGAAGTCACAAAGAGTTGTGGTCAACAGTTCGATGTCCAAGTGGAGACCGGTGACGAGTTGTGTTCCTCAGGGGTCGGTATTGGGACCGGCACTGTTTAACATCTTTATTGGCGACATGGACAGTGGGATTGAGGGAACCTTCAGCAAGTTTGCTGACAACACCAAGCTGTGTGGTGTGGTCAACACGCTGGAGGGAGGGGATGCCATCCAGAGGGACCTGGACAGGTTTGACAGGTGGGCTTGTGCAAACCTCATGAAGGCCAACAAGGCCAAGTGCAACGTCATGCACCTGGGTCAGGGCAATCCCAAACAGAAACACAGGCTGGGTGGAGAATGGATTGAGAGAAGCCCTGATGAGAAGGACTTGGTGGTGTTGGTTGACAAGAAGCTCAACATGGCCCTGCAGTGTGCACTTGCAGCCCAGAAAGCCAACCGTATCCTGGGATGCATCAAAAGAAGCATGACCAGTAAGTCAAGGAGGGGATTCCTCCCTCTCTACTGCACTCTTGTGAGACTCCCCCTGCAGTACTGCCTTCAGCTCTGGGGCCCCCAAAACAAGAAGGACATGGAGCAGGTCCAGAGGAGGCCATGAAGATGATCAGAGGGCTGCAGCAGCTCTCCTATGAAGACAGGCTGAGAGAGTTGGGGTTGTCCCTGGAGAAGAGAAGGCTCCAGGGAGGCCTTATAGCAGCCTTTGAGTACCTAAAGGGGGGCTTGCAAGAAAGCAGGGGAGGGACTTTTTACAAGGTCATGTAGTGACAGGATAAGAGGCAATGGCTCTAAACTGGAAGAGGGAAGATTTAGATTAGATATTAGGAAGAAATTCTTCACTGTGAGAGTGGTGATGCACTGGAACAGGTTATCCGAAGAAGTTGATGCCCCATCCCTGGAAGCGTTCAAGGCCAGGCTGGATGAGGCTTTGAGCAACGTGGTCTAAGTGGAAGGTGTCCCTGCCCATGGCAGGGGGACTGGAACTAGATGATCTTTAAGGTCCCTTCTAACCAAACCATTCTATGACTCTATGAAAACCAATCTTCAGCTTATAAAGTGAAGACAGTATTGAGTGAAGACACCAAGAGCACTACTACGTCACACAAATTCCAGTTCCCCATGAAAAATAAACTACTAAATTTGCTTTTATTATAGAGAAGTCCAATAGCCAATACCGCATAAACTTTTACAGGTCTCTATATAAAGGAACCTTATCCAACATGGCACTTGAAATTCACCTGTAGAACATTCTGAGTATATTTTAAATTATCCTTAAGGCTCTACTTGCTTTTCTTCAATTTGGTTAAATTGTTACATAAATACTTCTAAATCAAAAGTTCATGTAGCCGATACTTACAATTATACCCACATTTAAGACAGAAAGGTATATACAACACAATGATTTTCCCTAGAGATGATGGATATAGGACTTATCACAGTTCAGTGCTCTATCTCATACAGTACATTAAGCAAAATGGGGCAGAAGGGCAGTTAAAAAATAGACTTCACTAAAGACTAAATAATTTTTTAAAAATCAGTTTAGCTGCCCTTACCTTAAATTCAGTCTTGTCCTGCAGGTCTGAAGTAAACAGCCTTAACTTCCTATCAGAAGCCGCAGTACAAAACCTACACTCAACAAAGAAAAGCCCTTCAGTCAATTAACACTGCAATAGTTGACTTTTTATCAGTTTCCCTTCAGTTTAAACCTGCAAAGTGGCGTGCAAAAGAAAAATCAGATTTTGAAAAAAAAGAAAGCTTCTATCTTAACTTTTTGGCTTTGGCAACAAGCAGAGTTACAATCCCAACTGATCTATAAAATAGTGTGTATCAAGTGCCAAGAATACTTTTTCGTGGAAAGAAACGCAAAACATTTTACAAAGCTAAATCTGAATCAACTATCAATTACCTGAAATCTCTCTCATAACTGCCATTGAAACTTCCCTTGGAAGAAGTTTAAGTGGGAGAGCACAAAAAAGAACCCTCATTATCAGTGTTTTAAGATACTGAAACACAAATTCATAAACCACTTTCTAACATATTTTAAACAAAAGACTGTACAAAAATGCAGCAGTAAGAAACCATCATAATTTTGAAGAGGCTTACAAGCTATTGAAAACATTTTCATTCTTGAGTGCACATTTAATAGTTAACTATCTTTTTACCCCTCAATGGGTCTCACAAATAGAATCTGACCTACTCCTAAACACAGCCCACACTATGCAGACCATTACAAATAGCTTTATAAAGCAGGCCATTACAATAGTCTCATCCTTAGTAAAGTTCTTAAAAGAATTCCTTCCTCACAGATGTACAAAAAGAGAATTCACTACATTTTAGGTCCATTAAAATAATGGATAAGGAAAAAAAATTATTTACTGCTAGTTCACTGGGGGGAGGAGCAATGGCCTCAACAAGTAGAACAAAAAAAAACCACCACAAATTAAGAATGAAAATGTTGTTCTACTGATGCGTTCAGAGACTTCATCAGTGATTTCTAAAGAATTAGATTTCACCCAGAAGCTTTAAACTTAGTCCAATATTAAGGAATTAGGGAAAACACATAAGAGATTCATTACACTCATTTATTACAAATACCTTATCTGGGGAGGTAAAGCATCAAGTCTAGTTTCTGGACTCCATGCTATGGCATCAACTCGGATTCCATGATGAAATGTTCTTAATGTCTTATATTGCATGCCTTCCACTTCCGCATCCTCCTCCTATAGAAATATTATAGTTAACTAATAGTTAACTATAGTAACTAATCCAGAATAATGTCTTGATGACTTCTAACAATTCAGATTGATATGAAATTGAAAGGTTTTCAAAATTACATGTATCTGGGATATCTTTAGATTGCAACACCCTCAAAGTGAAAACCTGGAAGATAAAGAAAGTATTAACTTGAAATACATAAGTACTTAAAAATACATTAAATTATTGCAGTCTCAAGCCAGAGGCCAACACAGAGCACAAAAATCAGAACTGAGCTACGAAGATGCTGAGCCCATTCTTTGTACACGTAATATGTTCACAGATACAACTAGCATGTTAAGTACACACTGCAATGACAAGAAACAATGGGAACAAAAGCAAGCATGTCATTTAAGCTGTCTTCTCTCCAAATTGTTTTTACACTATGGAAAAACACTGGCACTTTCAGAACAACATTCTTCAAACAGCAGGAGCTAGAAAGGTACCCTCTGTCATCTAACATGACCAAAATTACTAATGTCTATTCTTCCCACTGCTGAGCGCCCTGGATGTTGGGAAAGATGAAACAAGAGTTGGGGTTGTGGACTCAGTCAATCAGTTGACCTCTAAAAAACTTTTTAAAAGTTTTCAAAACATCTAGTGGAGCACCTCAAAGCATATTTCTACAAAATTTTCTCTATGTCATGATTCTGCTTTAAGGTAAAGAACCTCTCTGTATGCCCTCTGCATAATGTAGAGGCTAGGAAGAATCTAGCTGGGGAAGCATGAAATTATCCAGTTTTTAAAATGCTTCTGGAAGCAGGAAGCAAGAATAGCATTTTCTTCCCCTACTTTAAAACACTCAGTGACTCCACATATGGAAGGGAGGGAAGGATGCAAAAATTACAGAAAACCTACCTGGCACCAGTGGTTGTCAAAATTTTAATTAGTTTCTTTTCAAAGCCTACACCAGAAACAAGACAGAGGGCAATACAGATGACAATAGGTTTTTGTGGTTAGCACTGGATGTTTTTCAGAAAATAGCCAACAGTAAGACTTTGGGGAATAATAGTAAGACTAGTTATGCTGTTATTCATATTAGATAAAGTACAAAAATAATACTGTATAATACAGAAGCGAGTTGAAGAAAAAAGCTTAAAGATAGATTCCAAAGATAACAGTTGTCTCCTATTGATTTTCAAGCACCTAGGCAAAAAAACCCGCCTAATTAAAAAAAAATCTTATACAGTATAAAAATATGCAGTACACAGTACTTTACATTTTTTTAAACTTTCATAATATGATGACTCTAAATAATTTCAAGGTAAGAAAACATATTTTACTGTTTCTAACAGTCTATGAGAGCGATCCAGTAAAAACAATTGGGAAAGAAAAGAAGTAAAATCAGGTAATTATTTCTACAGTCCTTCCTTAAAAGAAATATCTATAAAATTAACACAGACACTTTAGTTTTAAAGTTGAAAGTAGTTGTAATCTTGCCATTTCACAGGCTAGCTGAAAGTTTAGAAGATAATTTAATCTAAATAGCAAATACACATAGAACAAAATACAACTGTGCAAAAAAGGAGCCAATTACCCTGTGATGATAAAGAACAAAGTACAGTAAATATTAAGTCACATATTTCTAAAGTTGTGTGCTTAAGTTCTCAGACAGCAGTTATGAACATTAGCAAGAGATACTAAAATGGGATTACTCTTCCAGTAGAGTACTCCTGTTTTCTTTGCAGTCTATTCAGGGAGTGCAGTGATAGGATAGGAGGTAATGGTTTTAAATTGGAAGAGGGAAGATTTAGATTAGATATTAGGAAGAAATTCTTCACTGTGAGGGTGGCGAGGCACTGGAACAGTTTGCCTTGAGAAGCTGTGAATGCCCCATCCCTGGAAGTGTTCAAGGCCAGGCTGGATGGGGCTTTGAGCAACCTGGTCTAGTGGAATTGTCCCTGCCCATGGCAGGGGAGTTGGAACTAGATGATCTTTAAGGTCCCTTCTAACCAAACCATTCTATGATTCTATTCAAAAGGAACTTTATACCAGGCAGGATGGTAATTTATACCAGTGTATTTTATATATATACTTAGATATATATAGTTTCTTGAAGAACAAATATCCCATGTTAATGTAATAAACAAGTAAAACTCTCCCCTGATTACATGAGGAGGGGAGGAAACAGGAAGGCGACCAGGGTCTTTGTGCAGTAGAGGTGCTGGCAAAGTAAGTTTCAGGAAGCAACTAATAAAATCAACAATAACACAAACTAACCTGAAATCTGCATGTCCCAACAACTACATAATTATTGCCACCATATGCAATGAGGGAACATGCATCTCCACTATCAAATGGATTGAATTTTACCACGTGCACATAATCCTCACAATCCACAGTGTAAGCAGTGTTTCTAGTAGAATCTTGTTTCATTTTCAGCGGACTAAAGTCAAGGTGTCACAGAAGTGATGTCCCCTCCAGATGAAAATCTATATTCCTACACAGAAAGTTTTAAAAAGCACACATTATTCATTTGCATGAAGAAAAAGTGTAAAAGGTATTTGTGGCACAACAAATCAAAGTTTCTGTTAACATCATATTTAAGAACACAATAGCTGCATTTAAGCTTATTATTTTGAGATGCAGCATGTAGTTTCATCAAAAGACTAACTAACCTAACTAACATACATTCAAAACTGTCTCTGTAGACTTCAGCAATAACTGCAGATTTTGTGCTACTGTTGGCAACCCAACACCCAGACAAGAAATTAAGTAACTGCACACACCAGAAAAGTCACATACAGAATTTTTTAATGTTCAACAAAATGACAAGAAATTATACATTACTACCTTCAAATTCTCTTCACTTGTGTACCTCTTTAAAGACTGTATGTGTCTAACTAAAAGCAGAGTTAATCAAGGCTGCAAAACTGTAAATAAGAATACTGTCATACCTAATATTTAAACACGGTTTCATGACTTAAGCCATCCCAAAACTGTGGACAGAGCAACTTCACCTCTGTGTACCAAATAACTTGTACTTTACTGTAGTCAACAAATTTTCAAGAAAATCATGTCCCTGTGCTAGAACAGAAAAGGCCGAGATACACAACTGATTTCAGAACCACTCCTTTTAGTCCCAGGACAAATTTGAAACTAGTTTAAGCCTTTTTGGGAAATCAGACCTTTAATTACAGACCACGTGCATAAACAGCTTTAAAACTCAGACCTTGACAGATTTTGCTGTGTTAACGATCTGAAGGTCTTGGCATCCAAGACTGAGTATTTTGCTTGGGAGCCACCCAGATTTGACACAGACATCACTGAGACGCAAAGAGGCTCTCCATAGTTGCAATGTTTATTTGTTAATTAATATGACAAACCACCACAATAACATAAATAATTTAGCCATACAACTTGTATAGCTGTGCTCCTAAGGTCAAATACAATCTTTAATCATATCCATAGTTTTCTTCCTTTAGGGCTTCCCACGAACACAGGCCACCAGCCTAGCTCTAGGCGAAAATACCAAGAATGCCATTAGCTTCATTCCTTTAGGAAACACAATTGGGGCAGCTGAGCCCTATGGGTGCCCGCCTGCCCCCCCACTTTAACCACCTGCCCCCTCCTTTTCCCTTCAGGGCCCAGCTGCTACTGCCGAGCGACTGCCAGAGTCACACAGCGCTATCGGTGCTCGGACAAGGACGAGGGCCCGGACCCAGCTCCGCTCTTGGGGCTGAGCAGGCGAAGCCCCGAGTTC